TCTTAATTTTTCAAGATCTTTTATAATTTTATTTCGTAATTCAGTGCGTTCAACAAAAAAATGATTAGATTTTGAAGGAAGAACTTGGAACGAATTAAAACAGTTTCGATGATTTTTTATTTCAATGATTTCATCAAGAAAATTTCAAATCTTGAAATGATTTTCAATGATGTTGACTATATCATAAAATCATCATCTGAGCATTCCCTTTCATACCAATGTGCGTACTTGTTTCTTTCACAACGAAGTGTATGAACAGCATCCTTTTGTTTTGTCAAGGTGCTTGTAATTGAATTTGAAAAATTATTGCATCAAATAATATCGTACAGTCCCACTTACTGGTATCTCCATCCTGATATTTTTGTCGAGTTTTTTGGTCTAACTTTCTTCTTGATTCTAAATTGTAAAATTTGTTACCACTGTTGTGTGTATCATCCCATTCTCCATAAGTTGATTTGTAACGAGAGTTCCATTGTTTAATGAAAACTGAGCAAGTTCCTTTTGCACCACGTTAATTATTTGCTGAATGTAAGACAGATTTCTTATTCCTGACGATTCCATCTGTACAAAATTTGGTATACATCAACAAGATAAAATCAAGCAAATAAAAATATTATACAACCCTTATTAGTTTCCATTGAAGTCGGATTTACATGATGACGAAATCAAACTTATTTTTAATTGATTTAACTTCACCAAAACCGTCTTAAAATTACAAAGAACCTAAAACTAATAATAACAGAGAGCATGTATGCTACAGCTTTTACCAACTGCAGTATCCTATCAAACAGCCTTTAGAAAAATTAAAAACATGATATTTTACCTTAAAGTTTACGTTACAAAACAGACATAAGAATATATTCTTCAATAATTTGCATAGACCTACGGTTTCAGCCTCGTGTCGACTGTGTCATGTCACAAGCCAGACGTGAAGAGATTCAGCGTCATAACGAGGAGGTAAGGCAAAACAGGGAAATGTTGAAAACCATAACAAAGCTGTTTTATACTTGTCTAGGCAAGAGCTTGCATTTACTACCGTGAAATTGGCACCATATTGGGCACCACAATCAACACAACATTCATCACAACACTCATCACCACATTCGACTAAAATTTATCATTCAAAATGATAAATCGAAAAATCGTCTTTAAAACACGTTTTCCATCAAATACAACAGTAAAAAACAATTCTTGACTGTTTATTACTATTTTACTGTCCTTAACCATCACAAAAAATGTATAAAAGTCAAGAAATTGAAGAAAACACTAAGATTTATATTACAGTGTACTTTCCATTTCTCTTAATTAGCCTATAATTTAAAAACTACACGGTAGAATTTTTTTAAACTTGGCCAGAATATAGATAATTATATTGTCTATAACATATCGAAAATCTGGAGATGGCACAAAAATATAAGTTGTAGAAAATCATCGACAAAGTCGGATGACACGAATGCGCGTAATATGATCTTATATAATTACGTTTAGAATTTCAAGTCATTGCTAAATAAAGGCCTGTAAATAAAAATCTACACGGTAGAATTTTTTTAAACTTGGCCATATTGTAGATATTCTTGTCTATAACATATCCAAAATCTGGAGGTGGCACAAAAATATAAATGATAGAAAATCAGTTCAGAATGCAAGAGGAACATTTTCAGAAAAATTGAAATTGTTAATCGATATTCTGATCGTGTCAACAACGTAAAAAAATGCGATAGAAAGAAAAATAATAGCCGATTTCTAATTATAAGATAATAAAGTAAGGTAATTATCTAGTAAGTCTGTAAAAATACAATATAAATAATGCACATGTCTAATTATACCGTGACGTAAAGGTCCTGGATTAAAGTAATATTTGGTCACGACTACTCCAAAAACAAGTCATTTCCTTCAGTAGATTCACTAAATTTTGAAAAAATTAAAGCGATGAGCAACTAGAACAAATTTTCAAGAAAAATAACCAGCAATATTACGTCACTGCATAATTAAATTGGCACTAACAACCAAACAGAGTTTACTACTTTTAAACAATTTAGTAAAAAGTGAATTGTATTAATAATTTTTGTTCACTCTCTAGATTTTGGATATATTAAAAAAATTCTACCGTGTAGTTTTTATTTACAGGCCTTTGTTTAGCAATGACTTGAAATTCTCAACCTAATTATGTAAGATCATATTACGCGCATTCGTGTCATCCGTATTTGTCGATGATTTTCTACAACTTATTTTTTTGTGCCACATCCAGATTTTGGATATGTTATAGACAATAAGAATATCTACAATATGGCAAAGTTTAAAAAAATTCTACCGTGTAGTTTTTTATTTACAGGCCTTTGTATAGCAATGACTTGAAATTCTCAACCTAATTATATAAGATCATATTACGCGCATTCGTGTCATCCGACTTTGTATATGATTTTCTACAATTTATTTTTTTGTGCCATATCCAGATTTTGGATATGTTATAGACAATAAGAATATCTACAATATGGCCAAGTTTAAAAAATTCTACCGTGTAGTTTTTTATTTACAGGCCTTTATTTAGCAATGACTTGAAATTCCCAACGTAATTATATAAGATCATATTACGCGCATTCGTGTCATCCGACTTCGTCGATGATTTTCTACAACTTATTTTTGAACTGTTTCTCTGCTTTACTATATGATCCTTCGGCAATTTAAATTAACCAAAATGGTTCTATTTCCTGCATAAATATCACGCGTTTGCTTTCTAAGATAGCCTTTTCCGACGTTCTAGGGAGTCTAAATTCGGAAAATTTTATCGCTCGGCGCCAACCATGGTGGCGCCTCGTGAGCCCGACCAAATGTTTTTCGCTAGCTATGCCACTGATCACAAGTATAATGAAATAACACATATTTTATAAACATACCGTCCGGACCCAAAGATGAATATAATTGCATGCTAGCAAGCACTTTGAATTCCTTGGCAAACAAATACATAACGATAAACAGGCCTTCCTTTGATCGCAGTAATTATTTTCGTAAGTAAATTGTTTGTATTTTGCAACTTCGTTTGATTGGTATACAATTACAGGATTACAAATTGCTACAGGTATCTATGATGTATATTTCATAGTACTAAGGTGGGACTAATATTTAGTAAAAATATATTAATTAAATATGACAAACATTTTGTATTTAAGGTCACATTTATACATCGTAAACACACATGATAATTCTTTATGTTTTATCTTACAAACCTTTTGCTGGTCGACGGTTGGAGCTTTGAACATTCAATCTTTCAGATAAATTCAACGTTCTGAAGAATTAAGCGTCAAATATCTGCATCGTTTGAGTTGATACGTTGCGTCGTTGGGCATTTGTTATGTAATACAAAGACACAGAATAGATCACGTAACAGAAGGGCCACTTAGCAAAAAATGCGGTCCTAAATTTTAATGCGCATGCGCTACTTCCGCCACGATGGCAGCAAGATAAACTTACAACTCAAAAATCTTGGCGTTTTACTTGAAAAGTTGAAATATTTATCCTGAGACGACCAAATCAAAGCTGTTGTTAATAAACGCAATCAAGACCTACCCTCAGTATCGTGCTGAAAAGAGAACATACAATCAACATATTTTTATGCTTTTTCATGTACAACCAATGTGTACAATTCTATCGAGACCTGTATGAAATGCTGTGCCGTGGCCGTGTGAAAAATTTGACGTTCAAGATTAAACACAGATGCTCTAGAGTTTTTGGAACAATACGCCAGCAAGGAGGTAATTTTGACAATCCCACGCCAATACAATTTATCAGGGCTTTTTGAAAGTTTTTTTTCAGTTCACTTTTGACCTCTTCGAAAAAAACTGTTAAAGATATACACACTCTGCTAACACAATTATAAAAAAAGCCCAAACATTTAGTATGCCACTTACCCATGCAAAAGCTCCAAATAACTCACTGTTGATTGGTAAAATGACTACTGAGAACAAAATATTAGCAACAATTTATTGCTCAAAAATGCTGCTGCCTATGTTTCAGGATATTTGCTAAGCAAAGCTTTCAAAATCCACAGCTGTCTCCAATGAAAGAACAATTTGACTTCAAATAACATAAACAATGATGGTAATTTGCTTTGCTATTTCAAGGCATATAAAGAACTCAACTTTGGTGGGCTGACTGCTCCTTCATCGTGCTATTTAAATTACATTATGCAACTTGAAGACACCTTCGTGGATTGCTTCTCAGTCACAACAAAAATCTGAATGTTGGAAAGAGCATCTTGAAGAGTCTTAACAAGATACCAGTGCCATTCCGTACATGTTCACAGTTTCCACTGCAATATTTGGTCAAACTTTTTTTAAGAATGCGAATTTATTACAGCATCAAATTTGCAAATAGCGAGTTTTCCTCTTCTAATAAAAGATCGCGAAAGTACATTAAAGTCAAGCATTTGTAACATTCTACAAACTTACAACAAGGAAAATTCCATAGACAAAGTTGATGATCCTTTTCATTGTAACTCGCAATTCAAGCATAACCATGATTGAATGTTGGCAAGTTGGCAAAAGCTTTGAGGCAATTGTTTGCTTTCTCAGTAAAACAATGCCGAAAATGATTTCGAAAATTGGTATTAATTGTCATGGGGTCGTCGGTATGGTCGTCGGTCACAAACAATGATGACGTTTCTACCTTTGACTGATGGAAACATGCAAACTAGTCAATATTCAATATGGCGTTTGAACGATTGTGGTATGTTTCGCTGCCGTAAAATGGCATATACAACCACAAATACAACCATCCGACTGGTGCAGCTTAAAAAGAAATTTCAGGGCTTCCATTTACTACATGTTTCAAAGTTCATGTATGAGAACAATATTTCTTCGTGTATTCATACTTTTTAGGAGTTTGCAACATCAAAAGTTCGAAGCAAGGAAATCGATCAACAGGGCTCAGTCACTCAGTACTATGCTTAGTACTTTTTTAAATATCTATCGGAGTCTGGCTGGGAGAATGGTACTTAGACTAATTCTAGTACTGGTTTTTATAAATCGGGGTATTATTTTTTGGGTACACTTGCAAAATGTATCAATTCAGGAAGAAATTCAGACGCTCAAATGACTTCTTTTACAATAACGTGGAGAGGAAAGGAAACACACAAAAGATGATGCGGTAGGAATTTTAAAGTGTTCTTTTATTGTTTCTGGTTGCACAATTTCATATTAATTTATATTTATTACCACAGTTTTATTAACAAAAGTATGTGTACAAATTTATTTATGCCCACAATGTTGTGTAAGGAAAACCATTATTCTGAGCACATTTTCCATTTTCAAGTCTGGATTCTCTACATCCTTTAATCACAATGTCATATATGTTAATAGAATAACAGTGTGTCATATGAATCTCAATTTTTTGAACAAGAAAATGAATTTGGGATTTGGTAAGTTTACATATATTGTAAAACTATGTAGATATAAAAATACGCTATGTTTATGGTTTTTTTTCATTTATATGTAGAATGAACAAAGTGAAGATATTGCTGAAAATTATGACAAGCACCAAGAGTTAACCACCAAAACACAGGTTTTTAATGTACATATTGATATTGTTTCTCATGAAAAGTCCTTGGAAATGGCTATATGTAGGACTGCTTTCACTAGAAAAAACTAAAAAATTTTGAAGTAATTTAAAGAAGGCATGCATTATTTCAACACTTATTAAAAGTCTGTACACATTTTAAATTAAATAATGGTCTTTATTTGTAGGATTCTGAAGATATTTTTATCAAGCAATCTATCTCTATTATTACAGAGGAATCTAAACAACCATGTCAACATAGTCAAGTAGTTCTCACTTATACAGTTATACTTTATACTGTTTACCACTAGTCATGTTTTTAATGTGTTATAAATTGACAATATGCTTGTTGATTGCTTATGCATGAAACACTTGTAGCAAAACTTTATTAACATCTCATTAGAAATGTGCTCAACAAACATAAATATATTACAATAGATATTTTGAAACAGTGAACATTAATAATTACTGTATACTTTCTTTCAGAGTCATTTGTCACCCACTGGCCCACTGATATTGTTTGGACTTTGCATCTTATGTATCATCAGCAAATCAACTTGTTGTTCATGATTATAATGCAAACAAAGAACAATTGTGGTGATGTCATTTTATTTCCATAATTTCAATGTTGGGTATGCCTTAACTAAATAATACTCAATACTGCTATAATCTGCATATATTTTTTCTTCAGTTTTTCAGTCAATTTGTTTTAATTCATGATATCCCACCTATTGCAGGCTACGGTTGGATATTGTGCTGAACAATGTGATGCAAGTAGAAACAATTGTTGAAGCCCTACCTAATAATATACGTTAGATCCTCAAAATTGTAAAATGGTCGTATATGAAATTAAAAACAGGCCAAACAACATTTTGTACGCGTCAGATATACCGTATTGATTGCATACATATTAGCAATGAAAAATCTGGTTGTGTATGATAGAAAGTTTGGTATATTGACCAAAGATTTTATTGAAAAAAGTAAGTGTTAATATTACTCAGGATATAAAGGTGTCTGAACAGCTTCACCAAATTTTGACTTACACTTACATACTATTTGTTTGAAGACCCTTAAAGATGTGAGAACTTGTTACATATTAATCTAACATTGCATGAAATGAATGTCTCAAATTTGTATTTGGCTTATTTTCAATGTAAGTTCTTCATGTTGTATGGGAGGAAATGTCTTCATCAATAAATATCAGTTTATTGTACATTTTAAACCCGTGAAGTGTCTTCTGTGTTTTACAAGACCAATTGTTCGACATTGTTCATAACCTACATGTAGACGTTACCCATTGCAAACACAAGTAATGTTGTTAAAACTTGTGAATGATTATTTACACAACATATTTATCTCATCCCATTTCTTTTATGAATGCAGAATCACATCCATGATGCAGTCTGTTGATGATGTTTCACATGAGATGCACCTAACCTGAAGAAGTATATTTTGTAAATAACTTTTTGTTTGCAAATACATGTATAGTTTCTCAACCTTCTAATACCCCACATTTGTTACCGTACGCCTGTGCCTAAGTTCAGGAACTTCTATAAAGCTATTAGGGTG